GGCAGGCATCGGCCACACTGACATCCTGATCCAGCCAAATGGATACAATCTCGTCCTCGTACTCCTGCAGCACTCCCAGAACATTATGATAGCGCACATCCAGATCCTTGGCCATGGGCAGGTTGCTCAGCACTGCATGGTCCATCACCGCATCCATGAGCTCCGTGATGTGGAGGCTCAGGGCACGACACCAGTGAATCCTTCCGGCGATGGGTGGAAAGTTCCTGGCCAGCGGTGGATCATCCCGCTGCTTGCGGAACGTCTTCAGGATGCGATCCACCTCCTTCTCCACGTAGCGCAGGATCCGGGTGTACTTCTCGTCCATCTTGGTCAGCGGAATCTTCTCGCTGACCTTCTCGAAACGGACCAGAAAGCGGATGCACTGCGGCGTCTCCCAAACGGTGTCGAAATCCTTTTCAATCAAAGTGGCTATGGTGTCCTTTAAAGAGTTAGTTTTGTGAATGAATCTCTCGAAATCCACGTTAAAGTCTGAGTTTCGGTGATCCAAGTAGTCGTATTTCCGGGAAGTCACGTCCTTCTTGGCCTCTTCAAAGTGGTTGGAGGCATCCTCCAAGGCTTCTCCCAAGAGAAGTCCTTCCAAACGGCGCTCGAACAAGTGATTGTAGTCATCGATCAAATTGAACATGCTAATGATCTTGGAAAGCCGCTCGCAAAAAGTATCAAATTTGCCTGAAAATAATTAAATAGTTTTAGTGGTACCCATTTATCATCTTAACTTTCATCATACCAAATACAAAGTTCTCCGAAAAACCAAAGGGGGTTTGATTCGGTAGGAAAGGCTGCTCCCGAACTGTGTAGTAGGTCTCGTGGTAGATGTGATTCAACTTGATGCAGTTGCTCAGCTTTGTGCGGATCACGTTGCGATCCTGTGACCATATTGTCTCCTTGCACCGACAGGTTATGTACGACTTGCAGGTTTCAATCATTTGGTTCGTTATCTTATTAAAAAACAGAGTGTTTTAGGGTACATTTTAAAAAAGATTGATAGGTAACTAAATCGCATAGTTATTTATGTTATTTTTCTGCCATTCATAATGCTTACTCTATTTTACCAGAAACTTTACTATTTATACCAGAAACCAAAATAACTAATAAATAGTAATACATTTTAATATAAATAAATAATCCCTTTAGGAATAGCACTCATTCTTAGTGTAATAAATCAAAGGTATGATATCAAACATTTTAAATTTTTCTTCTTGAAGAAAAATACCTCAGAGCCTTAAGGTCAAAGAATTTTGTGAAATGCGCAAACATTTTATATTAATAGGAATCACTTACAGGTAAAGTGGGAGAAAGTAAGGGGCAAACAAACAAGTGCTAAAGAAGTTTAAAGCTTAAACAGTTTTGACAACGTTACAAAGGTAGGTGTATTTAAACTGACTTCTACCTCTCAATCATTTAATTATTATTAATATAATTAATTTTGAACAATTTATTTACTAGTAGCTTAAAATAAGTCTTGAAAATTTCAAGTTGAAAATACTTTTGGCTAAATATGTACTTATATATACTCGGCATAATTGTATTGAAAAAGTAAAAACTGAATAATATTCAGTTCTACTTTTAATGGCTTCACATTGTGAACTTCACAAAAAATTACTTTTGTCGAAAAAAGTTGTATGATGATTTCTTAAAATAAAGCTTACCTTAACCATCAGAGCGGATGTCCTTTCCGATGTATTATAGAACTGGGAAACACTGTAGATCAGCCGCACTGTTTGCAGCAGGCTCAGGATAGACTCCTTCATGCTCACAGGATCGTCTAGGTAAAGCGAATGGCAGCATGTCTCCATGGCCTGGATGAACTTGGAGTTGTCGCGCGCCTCGTTGTAGCAGAAGGTGATCTTCCTGTCCGTCTCCTTCCACTGCTTGATGATCCGGGAGCCGGCTAGAAAGAGGCAGTGCAGCGTGAACTGCACCTCCTTGTCCTGCAGATGGGCCAGGAGCTGCGAGAACTGGGCACCTCGCTTTTTCCAGTACTCCAGCTCGTCCTGCGGCCCACTGTGGTCGTTCTCCTTCCGAAGCTGCTCGCTCTCGCCCAGAATCTTCAGTATGCCCTTTGTCCAGTTGTTCACCCGCTCCTCCAGCTGACCGCAAAAGTCCTGGTTTTTGGACATGTCCTTCACCTCCTCCACCTCGTCGATCTTCTCGAACATGTCGCACCCGTCGGCAAAGACATTGTGATGGTCGCACACCTGTTCGCAGACGCGGAGGGCACTGCAAAAGGATCGCAGCCCGGGCAGGAGCTGTCCCTTGATGAGCCCGCAGCTCACGTCCTCCTCGTCGCCCTCCAGACTGGGAAAGGCCAGGGCCTGCATGAACACGAACTCCACTATTCGCTCGATTGAGGTAACCAGTCCGATGTTCTTGGCATCGATCACTCCGCAATACCTATCAGTTTCAGAGATCTTTAGTAACTTTCCGGTACCTAACTGTACTAAGGACTCACAAATCCTTTTGGAAACCCTCCTCGGGGAGCTGCTTCGAAGTATTCACACGAAATATATATATACATACTCCTGTAAAGGCGCAAGTCCAACCGTCGGTTAGAAACAACTTCTTGTGCTTGGGTGGAGGCAAGCCACTCGGAGAAGCACCACCTAAAAAGGAAATATGTAGATTGGAGAAAGTTATTTTGGTCTATTTTCCATCCCTGAAGATTTTGGTACCAATCCGCGGTCGGTGTAATAATTAACGGTTCCTTCTGCGACTGGTCACATTATGCAAAATCCCAGCACGCAGCTTTCATAACATTTCAAATTTTGAGGTTAAGCATTAACCTTTGTTCTAGGTCTATTTGTTTTTAAATAAATAAAAATAAAAATAATCTAAACATAAGTATAAAAAGCGACTGCCCGCGTTTTATGTATACAAATTAACATTATTAAGATGTTCGTTGGGTTAACATTTTTTCTGTACTCTGCCGCCACACGCACATTGAAAATTAATCATTGTACTTGTATACAATTTTAAAAACTGAAATTACAGAATAGTAGTATTAATTTCTCACCCTGCGGCGTCTTGGAGCTACTGGAAGCTACACCAGATCTCGAGGGTCCCGGTTTATTTGGATCAGGAACCGGAGTTGGTTCTGGGTCATCCGTCTCCTGGTAGAACCACAACAGCTTGTTCTTCATATTAGGCAGAAACAGCTGATTGATCTCATCGAGCTAGACCAAGAGATTGAAGATACCAAGAAAAATACAAATATAGCGGTACGCCTACCATGTCCCCTTCGAATATGTAGTCCATGAGCTGATGCCTGGGCAGCTGGGTGGCATCGATCAGGAGCTGGAAGGTGAACTCCAGCCGGGGATCCATCTCCCCACGACGGGCCTTGCGCTCGCATTCTTCCCGCCGGCGCTGTGCTTCGTCGGGGTCCATTTCGTAGGTTTACGTTATATTCCCGGGATTTTCGGGACCGACATGCGTCGAACCGTTTGATTTCCAGAAAGGATAATTTTAAGGATCAAAATTTTGCAGTGCGGTAGGGGTTATATTTTTTTTGGATTGTACAAAAATGTATTATTGATTTCAAGTTGTAAATCAATTTGTTGTTTACAAAATGTTCGTTTTTCAAAATTCAAAAATGAGAGAGACCAAAAATTTGTTAGTTTCAAAAATGGCACATACAGTAAACATAGTCTACAAATGCATTTCAACTATTTCATAGTTGTACGCCAACGAGCTACTTTCAAAAAACTACAATTTTACTTATATATAGCATGACAACAAATACCAAATACAAACAAAAATCAAAAAAAGGGTGAGCTTCAAATGCTATACAGTAGTTGTTGAAAGGTGATTTCGTAATATTTTACTAGGATTTGCAGCAACGGAGAAGTGAAGTTCTTTACAGTTGCATTAAGGTGGACTACGGGTTACTCAGCTAAAAAGAAATGAAAATAAGTGTATTAGGTCGATATAATATGAGGGAGCCTCAACTAAGAGCAATTTACACACGCAGTAACAGTTGCAACTTGCGATTACGTAATCAGTCAAAGGGCTTTTGGAATCTAGGGTTACATTACAGGTTACTTTGGGGTTTTCTAAGGCAACATTCGATATGGGTTATTTAGCATTACACTCGACAGTTGTGGCTAGTGATTAGTGGTTTGGATTTGCACCTGCAAAATGTCGCCCTGGTCCTCCTCCTCCTCATCATCATCACTACTGCCCCCTTCGGCACGCATTGCCAAAACATGCTCGACCAACTTTTTCTTCTGCACGAACATTGCGCCAAAAACTCTATGCAAAATTCAAAATCACCACAAACAGGAGCTCACTGGCACTGGAGCACCTAATCAAAAATCATTATAGATTTACTGCGTTTTTTTGAAATTTTCTCTGTGTTGCACAACTTTTCGCCTCTGTGAAACGGAATAAGCTGAAAACTTTATTGAACAAACAAAGTCAGGATACGCTGCAAGTTACCAAGGCAACCAACTAAGGTCCGACGATCGGATTTATTATTGTGAACTGTTTATTTATTCACCTGTTGGAGCCACCTGTAACTGCCACCTGTAACTGCCACCTGTAACTTCCACCTGTAACTGCCACCAATTTGAATATTTCGTTTATAACTTCAGTTTGAACAAAACCCGAAGATTTAATTTAAGGAATCGGTTAGGGCCTATTGCTAAATGCCATTTTAACACTTAAATATTTTTGGTCAAGAACGAAACTGTTCAAAAAATACTGAATAATATGTTTTATTTATACGGAGCATAAACTTTTTTTACTCACTGCCTTATCAAAACTTCGAGGCTCAATTTCTGTTCTTTATATTTTATTTTAGTTGATAAGTATTTATAATCTCTCGATCACTGCTCTCTTGCTTATGTTAGCTTTTGCAATAAATAGTATTAGGAGATTGCAAGTTTCTTTGGGATGCTCCCAGTCTCCGATCGCGATTTAAATCAAACAGTCAGGCTTTAAGAATTCTATTTTAAATAGTGTCCAAGTTTTTATTGAAAATGTTGCTGTGGGGAGTCCTAATTTGCACGATTCTTATGCATTGCGATGCCAGAAGCGTGATGGATTGGCCTGATAATACCGACAGCAATTATAAACCAACCATTAACTCTACGACTGACTACCTGAAGGAATACGCGGATATTATGAAATCGTATATGAACCTAAAGGTCGCGCCCTGTGACGACTTCTACGAGTACGCCTGCGGTAATTATCCAAAGGTAAAGCCGGATCGGTACTCCTGGCACCGGCGGAACAGCTTTGCCGACGTGATCTATACACTGAGCGACATTGCGGAGCAGCTGGTAACTAGGATGGATCTCGCGGAGGCTCTTAATGTGTCCAGCGAACTGATGGTGGCCCAAAGATTCTACAATGCCTGCTTGGGAGCAGAGCTCCTTCCATTCAATGCAGCCGATCCCGCTTACTTGGATCTCATTCGGTCGTTCGGAGGCTTTCCCGCCATCGATGGAGCCGCCTGGAATGCCTCCAAATTCAGTTGGTTCAACATGAGCGCCCACCTGACCAACTATGGAGCCAAAGGACTAATCCGCGAGGCGCTTCTGGCCGTGTATCCCTTTGTGCCCTACACCAAACTGCCCGAACTGGGATTCGATCACATCGTTCTCGAGGATAATATATCCAGTAATTCCACCCGTTCCTACCAGTTAAATGAGAAGCGAATGCGTGGTTACCTAAATGACTTTAAATTACCAGAAGACAAAATCGATGAAGTAGTCGCCGGGGTTTTCGCATTTTGGAGAGCAGTCCTTAAAGTTCCCGGCCAGTGCGAAGTTTTCAGCCCCTTTGAGATTGAGAGAGAGTTCCCCCAGTGGACGCACTATTATGATATTTCCTGGAACGGGCTCCATGTTTCAGATAAAAGCATTTGCGATTTTTACTACGTGGAACTGGACAAGGTGTGCGAAAGACATCCTGAGGCAGTGGCTAACTATCTGGCCATGCAGCTGCTCTATAGGTTCGATCCCAAAATAAAGGCGCCAAAGTACCAAAGGGATTATTGTGCTGTAATGATGCAGACCTCCATGTCGTTCCTGTTCAACAAACTCTATATGGCGGTAGGTCTTCTTAAGTTCTATACATTTTTGATATATTTCTAAAATATTTCTTATTTCCGTTTAGAACAACTTTAGTGTGGAAAAAAGTTCGGAAGTATCAGAAATTGTGCAGGAACTACGAAAGAGTCTCCGGAGGTCGCTTGAGGAAGCCGAGTGGCTTGATTCAGAAACTCGACAGGAGGCTCTGCTCAAGGAGTCCGGAATTCAGTCTCGCATCGGTGCCTTCAAGGATAACGCTCTAACAGATCGTCTGATCCGTGAAATTGGCAGCCTGAAAGTCGTCGAGGATAGCTACGCCTCTACCATCATCAATCTGCAGCGCCTTACCGTCGAACTCAATCGCTTTAGCAGTCGGCACTATATGGAACTGGCGAACGATACCAAGCCCCAGATGATGCTGCTGGGCATGCAAGTATCGGCGGCCTACTACATGCTGGACAACTCCATCAACGTAATGGCCGGACTCCTGGAGCCACCCATCTACCACCGTTCCTGGCCGCTTCCCCTGAAATTCGGCACCTTGGGTTTCATTGTGGGCCACGAACTGACCCATGGTTTCGACACAACCAGTTCTTATTTTGACGGCACTGGCAACATGCGCTCCTGGTGGTCGGAGAAATCTCGTCAGGATTTCGAGCAACGCGCTGAGTGCTATATGGACCAATATGACAGGTACACAATACCGGAAATAAACCGCCATATCAACGGAAAGACGACAATGGACGAGAACATTGCTGATAATGGTGGCTTAAGACAGGCTTTGGCGGCCTACCGCAGCCTCAAGAGGCGACTGCTGGAGGATCCTGGACAGGAGAGGATCAACGAGCAGATGCCAGGTCTCGACCTCACGCCGGAACAGCTATTCTTCCTGGGCTTCGCGCAGGTTTTCTGCGCAGAGTACCAGGAGGAGCACTACTGGAAGGACCTCACCGATGAACACACCATCGACAAGTACCGGATCCTGGGTGCCGTGTCCAACAGCGAGGACTTCTTCCAGGCCTACAACTGCTCCGTGGGAAGTGGGATGCGTCCTGCTGCAGATACATGCCGCCTTTGGTAATATTATTAATGATGCAGTACTTGGGAAACAATTTATCTCTAAAACCTGAATATGTTTTAGTTAATAAATTAGTTTTCTAGATGGCTTTAACTTTTTAGTAACGTTTTTTTTAAAGATGAAATGTAAAAAAACGCTCTTTGTATATATTTGTAGTTTTATAAAGCTGGACAATAAAATAAATATTTTTTTAAACAGAAAATTAGTACAATATTCATAATGTTTTAACTTTAAAATACCATTTTTTGAATCAGGTAAATGTAAAATCTATTTTTTTACTTTTCATGTAACGGTTATTTTGGTGGGTTTGTGTACCCACTATTGGCCCAGCTCAGCTTTCCACCCGGCGGATTGCCCAGGCATTTTTAGGTACATTTCCGCCGCGCTCTCGGCCACTCTGTTTCATGACAATTTTGTGCATGACAATTTTGTTCCACTGAGATTGCCTTTTTTTGTAACGAAAAACAGGCTGTCAGTCAGAAGTGTTCCGGCTCCGTAAACCGAAAAACAGCAAATCGCAACAGCAGCAGCATAATGTCGTCAGCAGCAGGGTGAGTCCTCGGCCGGGAATCCCCGATTCCCAAAACTTATCCGGCCCATCTTTTTGTGGCTTCTTTGTGCGTCGCGTGCTTTGTTGCGGCGGCGACGGCGGTGGCGTCCATTTTCGAACTCCTGGCTATGAAACCAGCTCTTTCCCCAACGGATGCACCTTATCCTTTTGGGGATCTGATGGATGGGGCGTTGTGCCTGCGGTGGGCGTGTCCCGTGCGCATCTGCATTGCGTTATTTGTGGGACTAATCGGTGGGCCCAGTTTTTGAGGTTATGTTTGGGCTGTCGCTAGTGCCGTGGATTTTCGGCATGGACTTTTGCCTGGGCGAAGCGGCCTATGCAAATGGCCAGTCGGGGAATTTGCATAGTTCATGCACCCGCTTCCAGAAAATACGATGCGAGTTGCCATGACACCGGATGCAAACTACCCCAACCACTCCTCTCCTTAGAACCTTATTTATGTTTACTTCATTTACCTTTTCCAGAGTTATTCCGCCTCCAGTTTCATGGGCCCAGCGTAATGACTTTCTCTACGTCATCATTGATGTGGAGTGCAAGGACATCGAACACAAGTAAGTGCCGGATTGTATATATATGTGTTATACCAGCAGATTTCCTAATCCCAGTCTGCATCCCCAAACAGAGTCACGGAAAACAGCTTCACCTTCAAGGGCGTGAACGTGCTGGATGCGTCGAAGAAGTACGAAGTCACACTGAACTTCCTCCACGAGGTGGATCCCGAGAAGGTGACCAGCAAGAACATCGGCCGTTGCCTGGAATTCACAATACCCAAGAAGACGGCCGGACCCTACTGGTCCTCGCTGACCACGGACAAGACCAAGTTGCATTTCCTAAAGGCCAACTTTGCCAAGTGGCGCGATGAGTCCGACGACGAGGAAGGTAAGTCGCAATGTCTACTAATCTTATCCTGAAATCTCACTCATCTCAACCCACCTATTCCCCCCGCCAGGTGATCAAAAAGACAACGGCATGTTTGGCAATTTCCTGAACAGCCCTGGTGGCGACTGGAACAACAAGTTCGACGACTTCAACGTCGACGACGAGGAGGAGGACTCCGATGACAGCATCCCGAGTCTGTCCCAGAACGACGAGGAGGGCGGCGAGGGTGACAAGGAGAAGAAGCCAGCTGCCTAGACGGCCGCTCGGATGGTGTCTAGCATTTTGGCGTAGTCGTAGCGTTAGCCGTGGCGCTTATACCATAAGTCAACACACGATCACAACACTCACTCCTCACACTCCCAAGAAAACTAAAACGAAAAGAAAAGAACACTCAATCACTCATAAGAACATCCACAAACGCATGCGTACATAACACACTATTCCAATCAAAGAAAAACCACATTTAATTTAGCTGAATATGCGTATTCAGAGGAGAGATGTTAACAAGAAGCAACACAAGGAACAAGATGATTTGGCGCCGACAAGGGAAAACCATAAGTTTTACGCTAGAATTTAACAACCAGAGGAAAGCTACAACCAATTTATTGCAAAATCAGTTTGCAATTTATTATTTTTGTTTCCTGTAAATAAAGGAAATTACAATAAAAAAATGGAAAACTTAAACTTTCGGTTTTTTCATTTGCAAAAATCTATGGGAGAGCTAGAAAGTTCTGGGATCTGTTAGAGGGAAATAAATAGATATTACACAGGTACAAGTTACGCAGGTACTGAGTCATCAATTTCTATTAAGCATTGTTATTCATTAAACAAATTATCCTTACATTTTAAGGGCAGTTGTTTATAAGTCCTTAAATTAATACAGATATTTTTTAAATCTCGCGCCTGTTTAACTGTTTTTCGTTGTGTTGGCAACGCTGTTGCTGTGACAACGCGGGAAAGAAGAAGCACACTTGAAAATGCGAAGCAAACAAACAGTTTTCACTCGAAATAAAGGATTTTCTGTCAAGTGATTGAAAGGAAAAAGCACAAGGAACCCCGAAAGCAATCCAAGACATGAAACCCGCAGCGATTCCGGCGAGCGAGCGGCGCCTGGCCTTCGCGGCCGAGTGGTACCACGCAGAGGCGGGAATCATCCGCCCATTCCTGATCACCTATTATGTTTCTGACAAGGCGGTGGAAGTGGTAAGAACTGGAAGGTCCTCGTTCATAGCAGTCTTAATCCTTCATATTCCCATCGCCCAGTTCGACCAGCGGAACAAGCGCACCTTCCTGCGGCGCACCAAGATCCCTGAGTTGACGCAACGCGACTTCTTCGTGGGCTCCAAGATCAATGTGTTTGGCCGGCAGTTTGACATTGTGGACTATGCAGATGACACCACGCGCACCAACCTGGCCAAATACCGCAAGAAGTAGAAAGAATCAATGGCCAGACTTACATACCCACTAACCTGTAATACCTATCTCTTCCAGAGGTTTCGTTCTGCTCAAGAACAACATGTGGACCAAGCACCTGGGCAAATTTCTCAAGACACTGATCGACAACAAGATCAACATAACCAGGGCATGATGGTGCAGTTCTCACCCAAGATGGTCACCCAATTCCTATCCGGCAAAGACAAGACGGATGTCTCCTCCTCGTGAGTAAAGCCAAAGTGCCAGGGAATTTTTCTCACCCACTTAATCTCAGAGTGCTGATGAACGAGCTGCTGGCGGGTCCGGCCATTAGCCTGGAGCTGATCGGTGACAATGTGGTAGAGATCATAAAAGCCTGCGCCCGCTACAAGAGCTCCGAGCTGGAGACACCCAATGTGAAGCTGTCGCCCAGTCTGGAAGAGCTGTGCGAGAGCGAGGAGATCCGCTACGGCTTCTACTACTCCGACAACGACGACGACGTGGACATGGACCTCAAGTTCTTCTTTGAAGCGCGGCACAGCATCATCAAGGATTGCCTGTTTAAGAACACCACGCTGGCAATCATCAAGCCGCACAGCATTAAAGATGGCCTTCTGGGAGACATCATCTCCGAGATCATGGCCAACGGCTTTCGTTTGACGGCCATGCGCATGATCCTGATGGCGCGCATCAATTGCGAGGAGTTCTACGAGGTCTATCGCGGCGTCCTGCCCGAGTATATTCCCATGGTGGCCCAGCTGGCCAGTGGAGTGTGCATGTGCATGGAGATCGCTTGCGCCGATCCGGAGGTAAAGGCGAATCCGGAATTCCGCAACTTTTGCGGGCCCATGGATCCCGAGATTGCCAAGCTGTTGCGGCCGCACACGCTACGCGCCAAATTCGGCAAGTCCAAGGTGCAGAACGCGGTCCACTGCACCGATCTGCCGGATGACTCGAACCTGGAGCTGCAGTACATGTTCAAGATAATAGACTGATTTTTAGTTGCTTAGCTTTTATTTATTTTCAGTTAAATGCGTGTTGCCTGTGTGCGTGTATCAATAAATTACAAGTGCAATGGAAATACTAGAGAATAGAACCTCTCTTAGATGCTGCCGCTACGGCTGGTGCTGGGCAAATCCCGATCCTCGGGATCGCTGTCCAGACCCCTAACATACAGCCCGCCCTTTCGTTCTTGCAGCGAATAATCAAAGGCAAGCAGGGCGTAGAGGATAATGCAGACCAGCATGACCACCGCGTAGAAGAAGTACTCGGCCATCTGGGAGCTCATCATACCCAGCTCGGTGACCAACACCACGATGAGGTTACCGAAGGCATTGTTCAGGAACCAGGCAGCTGTGACCACCGACTTCATGGAGGTCGGCGCTTGGGTGAAAGCGAACTGAAGACCCGGAATGGAGAGCAGCAGTTCGCCCATCATAAGAAGAAGGAACTGTGGCAACTGCCAGGCTATATTCACTGTTTGAAGCGGGGAATTCTTCAAGACGGGTTAAGAAACTATCAGGTGAAGAGTTTTACTATCAGCACTCACCATTATTCGTTCCTGCACAGCCCCCGCACAGAAGAAGGCGCCTGCGGAGAAAATCCCACCCACTGTTACACTATGGAGCGGCTGCAGTTCCCAGTTGAAGTAGCGACGCAGCAGAGGCACGGTTATATACTGCCACAAGGGGATGAGCATGAACAGGAAGATTGGACCCACGGCTTTGGCCTGATCCGGTTGAATGGTCACGCCCAGCAGTGTTGTGTTCATCTGAGTGGCCTGAAAGGTCCAGCTGGAGTCTTGCTGAGCCAGCAAGGCGAAGTAGAATGGTAGCGGGATGAAAAGCTTGGATATCTAAAACAAAAATGGGATTATTTACTTATAGGAGATTTGTAAAGCAAAAGCTTACCCTTAAGACCCTGGAGACATCGTTAACGAAGCCCTCATCGTAGGCACCAACTGCATTGTGTAGCCAATAGCTGGAGCGCTTTGGCGATTTGCGACGTCGCCACTTCTCCACTAGAGCTGTTTTAATGCAGCCGCAGAACTTGAAGAGTATATTGTCATCTGACAACTTTTCGGACTTGTAAAAGCATTTTCCAATCAGAAAGATAACTAATATCAGGGATAGATGTAAATTGGATTAGAATTATAAATGGAGAGTGATAAATACTTACTCCAGGCCATCATGAAGGCACTGCCCAGGGTGCCAAATACTGCTGGATAGCACTCCGCCTTGTCGAAGCACTGTGTGTTGGCCCTTACCAGCGGAGGAAGTATTTTGCTCAGGAAGATGCCAAAATAATAGACGAAATAGTAGAAAGAGAAGTAGTCGGCCAGGTGGGCGCTCTGTTCCGGAAGCTTAAACTGCAGCGCTCCTAATGAAGTGATGCAGGCCCGAATAGATCCATTACCCACGGCGATAAATAACAGGGCGATGGACACCAGCAGGCTAATAAAAGAAACAAGGATCAGTTAAACTGCTAATCTAAATCTTAGCATTTAATGTACTAACACCATTGGAAGACCCATGGCGGGCAGGGATGTCAGCACGAGCAGTAGCCATCCAAAGGCGTAGATAAAACTGAAGCCGGAGATCGTACGCACATTTCCCATGTAGCTGTCCGCCAGGATAGCCCCAATGATCGGGCAGAACTGACCGAAGAAGTTAAAAATGTGCAGCACCACGGTGGAAAAGCTTTCGGTAAAGTTGAGATCGTCGCGCAGATAGAGGGCGAGAACGGCTGGAAATGAATTCAATAATACATAACCGGGTGTAAGGCTGCAATCAGTCTTGATTGATTGACCATGAAATCAAGGTCGCCGCTTTGAGACTTCGACGTTGGTTGGAAAATATTTAAGGTCTCCTATTTTAAAGGAATTATAAAGGAATACACAAAAATCCAGAAGGGCTTGAAAAATAGATAAGAAAATCTTCAACGATTCTGGATACTAATGTCTCATAAATCCAGTATATGTATATTTTTTAGATTACCTTTAAAGCAATACACATTAGATCATGATCATCCCAATCTTTCGCCAGATCCATGATGCTTTTCTTTCATCTTATCTGTGCCCCTAATATAATGTAAGACAGGTCTTTTGACTGTCAATAAGACCTCCCTGTGTTTGTATTTCTGTGCCGCTGATAAGCCTGGTTTTCGAAATTTTTCGAGCAGACAAAAACAAATAATTGTACTCAGACCGATGGTCTAGATCTACATATAACTTACTGCGTATGCCGTTGGCTGCGAAGGCCTCAAAGAACTTTGTAGCCAAGACGAAGAAGACGGCCCGTGGATACCTGTACTCCATGCGGATGGGTGGCGGGGCGAAGCCATAATTTGGCAGGGAGCTGCGATGAGGCCGTTTCAACTGGGCCCGTTCTGCTCTCCATCCGCCCCACTCTACGTCTTGTGCCTCCGGCTCGTATTCCATCTGACTAAGCTCCGCAAGAGCAGGCAGGGCTACAAGTAATTGTCATAAAAGGGAGGCGGGGTTGATTACCTGAAGTTCTTGTCTTATCTTATCTGGAGACTCACTTTCTTCGCTGCCGATTTCCGTAGCGCGAAACATTTTGAACAGCCTGCACGGCTAATCCGACGTAAACGAACTGAACCGGAGAGGGAGCAGAGACCTGGACCAGTTGTTGACTTGAAAGCGCTTCGGACCAGATCGGGTTACAGAGCTGCGGCTTTTGTGGGTCGTCGGTGGTTGCGTTTGGTGGGCCACAGCCACAACGAGCTCTATTGTTTGGGCGACGGATTTGTGCCGCGACTGACGACCGCTGCTCTGGGCGGTCCAAGAGCTACTGAAGACTCCTCTCCGCCAGAACGAACAATGAGATAAAGGGCAGTCGGTGCCGGCCGATGCAGTCAGTCACGATGCAGCGCGAGCTTAAAACTAGGGAGTTAACGCCAACGCCACAGGTTATCTGCCAGAGGCCGCTGATAAGGCCGAGCCACGCTCATCGCAGTCACGGGACCGGGCTCAGCTGACTGGCGGCCTGACCCAGCCAAGATAGGATGTGGGGGTGCACAGTCGGTCTCTTTTTGTACAATGGATTTTATTAAATTACGCACAAGAAATTAAAACTAGAAGTGCTTGGAGTCGAGGGGCCAAATCGGCTGGTTGGTTGATGACGATCCATCGATGAAATTCGCAATTCCTGCCAAATGACGGGGAAAACACACGGATGACGATGCTCCAGCCCCCGAGCACCTTACACCAGCTTCTTGGCCTCGAAGAAGCTCTTGAGATGGCGCATCTGCCAGAAGCCCATGCAGACCAAGACGACGGTCTGGGCCAGCGACCACCATAAAACGCGGGAGTTGGTGCTCTCGCTGGTGTGGCGGAAACGCTCCTCGCGATAGCGCTGGTAGTTCTGCTCCTTGGTGATCTGCTCCACCTGGTCGAGCAGCTGGCGGATGCGCAGCTGCAGCTCGGTCAGCTTTTCCTTCTGCGCCACATTGGCGTAGTCGATGGCGTGCTCGCCCACCTGTATGTCCAAGTGGACGCGCAGCTGGGCTCCGCTGAACCAGGCAGTGCTGTTGGAGTACATGCAGATGACGTGCTCGCCGGGAGTGTGCGAGGTGAACGAGATGCGTCCCTGGGAGCTGTAGACGCGGGACAGCACGATCTTGTCGTCACTGTCGCGGACCTCCACATGCATTCCAATGCCAGGGGATGAGGGCATGAATCCATTGGACCGCGGATCGTACAGCTCCACTTTGTAGTTAACTGCAGGAGGAGGAAGTCTGATTAGAAAAGTTCCAAGTTGGCACTGGGCGCTGGCACTCACCAATCACAGTGGTCTCATCCGGAACCTCCTCGATGAAGCACTTGCGCTCCGTCTCCGATATGTGGAAGTACAAACCGCAGGCGCTGTGCAGGGCGCACAGCAGCAGGGCCAGGCTAAAGAGTTGATCGCGCATTTTCGGCTATTTGCAGTGACTTTTCCGAGTGGTTGTTTAATAAAGTTAAGCTCGCCGACACGTCATGAGAAAAAGTGCCAGATCGAAGTCAAAGTGTTTGGCATAAGAGATGGTAGCGTGACGGGGCTGGGTCACGACCACTCACGTACATAAATCAGAAACATTGAACTATATATGAGAATAACAAAAATAACAATTAGATTTAAATGATTTACATTACAGATGCATAATTTACATAGCTGTAACTTTTTGTATAATAAATATAATAGTAAATATAATCTCTTGCAATAGTTCCCTCACGCCTTCACCTCTAACTTTACTTTTTCGATATTTCGTTCGTCTGGCAACGCTGCCGTATCAGCTGTGCCGCCCCAAGAACTAGTGGAATTTTGCATCGCTTTGGACACACTGATTGGGCAGTGTTTTTATTTTTATTTTGTTTGGCCAGCCGGATAGCTTAATAATACTTTAATGCAGCCATTTATTGTTATACGCAACTACACGCAAGATGACGAGCTCAAGTGCCAGGAGTTGGTGCGGGACTACATCATGTCGTTCTCCAACAAGTCCTTCTTCGTCTATTGCTTTCGAGAGGTGAGGCTACGTGACTTATCTTCCTGCGATCAGTGGATTGAATTTAACTGGGTTTCTCTTGCTTTCTAGATCACATTGCAGTTCATAGTCATCACGTGGGCCATATTCTTCATATTTCTGGGAGTGCCTCTACTTTTCTGCGCCCTCACTGTGCCCGCTTGCATTTTCTGTTTGTTTACCGGCACCTACTTCTCGTTTTACTCTAAGGCAGTGGAGCTGATGAGGGTAAGAGCCTTACAATACCACAGCCAGGTTCCCTAACTATCTGATCTCACAATTTCTAGACCAAGCCATCTCAATCCCTGGTGGCCGAATGCTATGAACCCTTCATTTTCCGCTGCTCACCCAAGGAGGCTAGCTACCAGATCTTCATGGAGAACTGCCCCTATGACGAGGCCTCTGTAAGGAAGTTCCGTCGCAGGATTGTGGCCGCCATTAGTGTGAAGAATCACCATGCCGTCTACAACGCGGCCTGGATCTACCGCTTTGCCATCGATCCCAACTATCCCTACCAGACGATCATGGAGCCCATGGTGAAGCAGGTTGTCAAAAACTGCATCACTGGCGGCTATGCTTCGCTGGAGTGCACCATCTCCGAGTGGCAGGAGAGTGAGCGCGACTTCTACGACGACTTTGGCTTCGTCACGAGGCAGATTTACCACAAAAAGATCATCGGCAGCAGTCTGTCTGTGATGAAGACCCAGCTCACATATGGGTTGCGTTCCGACGAGGCTCTGCACAAACAAAACTAAGGCAATACCAATGGTGCAATATAGATAATCTCCCAGTTCTGTGGAATCTAGTTCAATACTTAGGTATTTATTTTATAAACTTTACATTCCAGTCACATATTGCGTCCCGAACTCAAAGCACACCGATTTAAGCCCTAGATTGTTGTTCCAGGGCGATTCGACAAAGTTTCAAATGAATTTAGCCAACTATAATAATAACATTCCATAGAACTTCCTGTTTAAAGACAGCCATCCTCGAATACCTTCTAGACTTTGTCGATTCGACGAGAAAAGCAATACCATCTAGGATTAAGCTACTTTATAATCGCCACTCACGAAATGTTTGAATAATTGTAAACACGTTGACACTGCTTTTGTCCTGTTTTATTATCTCTGGTTTATTCTTTGACATATTCTATTTAAATAAATAAATAAAATATTTAGTAATAAATAAAATTTGCATAATGATTTAGCGTAAATTTGATGCCACACATCTAACGTTTCGCTTATTGCTGTGTGATTTTGCTGTAGGTACATTAATTTCTCATTCTTTGATGCATTTCTCGGTACTTAAGACCGTAACATGTTTGAATTAAAGTGTAATTTGGAAAAGAAAGTCCAGTTTATGTTTGCGTTTAATTTGCTTTCGCACTGCGTATAAAAAGCCTTCATGCCGGACATGCAATGTTTAACTAATTTAAATCTGTATACACTTTCTTTTTATTGGGATTTTCTGTTCCATTCATATAGTTTTTCAGTTACAATTTTGCGTTAGCGCAACTAATTCTTAAAAAAATAAACAGAAGCGGCCCGCTAGCTGCTCCGCACTGTAAATGTAACTATGTATTTAAATTTAGTTTAGTTGGTTTTACTTGCATCAACTATTTAAAGCGTGTTTCAAAACTGGCTGTGAAATTAGCATAGTTTCCCGTTTCGTTTTCATGTTTTATATTGTTTTTCATCTCCTCCATATGTGGGTAATAACCATCTGCTGTTAAGGTAAATTGAATTCTTTTGGTTTCGTCGCAAGCAGCCTCCACTTGGGTAGCTATCCTCGGTTCCGTCGGCCTCAAATCCTTTGGCCCTTAGAAGAGCTTCACTCGCCGCTTCAGCTCGTTGCGTCGCCACTGGGGAAGCCTGTAGAACTCCGACCTGGCGCACTGCAAGATGTGCTCGAACTCGATGTCCGAAAGATGACGCTGGTGGAAAATATAGATCATTAGCATACTTCAAGGTTATATATCATATGAACCCACCTCTAGATTACAGCGATCTACGTCCGAGGGCAGACGATAGTTTGTGATTAGCAGTAGGTGATAGGGATAGATCTTGGCCGGCTCGTGCACCAGCATGGAGTGGGCCATGTTGGGCAGACTGCGCCGGATGAGTCCGGCCTGGGGATAGTGGTAGGAGAGAGCTCCTGAGTAAGTGCTCGAGGCGGGCAGGTCGCCGCCCATCAGAGCGCGTCTATCGCCCTCGGTGATGGAGTCCACAGAGGCTGCAAAGAGGATTATATTAGCAGGACAACTAGGAACCTAAAAGACTATATAGCTCACCCTCCGATTTGCCGCAGCTCAAATCTGTGCTGTGGGTTTTGTCGCCTAGTCCTCCATAAGAGAAGTCCTATATAAAAAAGCAGATAGCATTAGTTTCTGATCACTGGATATTGTATTTAAGTACATGCAAAGTAACAAACCAAAAACCAGTGCAACATTACAGGCGGTACTTAGTAGTACCCAAACAAAAGAAAGGGACTCAAAGGACTCTACGGCATAACAACAACAACAAAAGCGGTCTTACAGTGGCACCATGCATCGTGGCCGCAGCGGATGTGGTGGAGCTGAATGTGTGGGAGCGTGGAGCCAGGCCGTATCCTGGTTTGGGCACATGGCGCAGCGCACTCACCACTGGGCAGAGTAGATGTAGATGGTGTTCAAGTGATGTAGATGATGTTCAGGATGCATATGTTCGAGTTCGAGTCGGGTGGTGGTTAGTGTGGATGGGTGGGTGTTAGTTTTGTGGGTTTGTCGGGGCAACAATAGCATACACATAGACAGGGGGATAGGATGGGGATTAAGAATTGGAGTTAAGACACACAATGAAGCAGCAGACCAACCAGTTGGGGCATATGCGAAACATTTGTTAGTTCATCCAGGTGAGCAACCAGTGGCAGCATTAAAAAGTGAGAGAAAGACAAACGAATACCATCAGCAACACAGATTTGTGATTATAACTATTCGGGATTAGTGGTATTGGGGTAAGCTACAAGACATAACCGACATAGCCCGGCACCGAGTATCTGAGATCTTTATAAGATCTGAAGCAACAGGCAGCACTTACGGAGCTGTAGCCATTGCGTATATAGGGCAGAGTCGTCGTTTTGAATCCGTATCCGGGCTTGGGCGGCGATCGGTAGGAATGTATGGCTATAAACGTAATTGGGCTATATATAATATCGGTATCGATTTGCTCGCCTGAAAAACGGGACTTAGACTAGACTGGCTAGAGGATTACCATTGTAACTGGGCGCATTTCCCAGCGATTTGCCAAGCGAGCCACGATAGCTGGTGGATCGATCGAACATCTCGTCCTCGTAGAAGGGCTTCTGGTGGTCCAGATTGCGCGAGGGCGAGGCCCCAATGGGCGATTCGTATCTGGAATACCAGTATAGTTTGAAATTAGTATGCTTACGATCATATTTAGATATCTTGTCAGTAAAATCATATATTTATTGTTAAATATAGTAAAGAGATGTGAAACTTGGTATGTGGATGGCAATTAACAAAACTAAGGATTGTCTACAGGTCGGATAACTCTATTGCAAAAACCACTTAAAATAATCAATATAACAACGACGGCTATCTTAAGTGATTGCAATCTTATTGAACTAGATTAAAAACAAATAATAATAACACCACATAAGCCTAGAATAGATTGCGAAAGAGGCTAACCATTTTAACATCGATTGATTTTTAAAGGAGTAATATCCTACCTCAATTTGTACAGTGGCTCTTTGGAAGCAGAAGGCGTCCTGGAAGCATTGCGCGGATCCAGATTGTTCTGCTTCCACTTCCTGTACTTGGCGTGCTCCTTGAGGTCCTTGGCGATGGCCGATCCAATGCCCGAGTTGAGCTTCTCCAGCTGCTCGGCTTCCCGTTGAAGGCGTCTATTCAAAAGAAGATGTTTAATAGAATTGGAATATATCATCACTTCGATCCAACACTCACTGCTGCTCCTCGCCATTCTTGACCTTGCCATTCTGCTTGCCATTCTCCACATTCTCATCCTCGTCATCCGAGGCAGGCACTCCCTTGTAGGTATCACTGTACCGCCGCCGCCGCTCCGGATCCGTGTAGGGATACGGCGGAGCAGGGAAGTCGTCCCGCTCGATCTTGGGCTGCTCGCCTGGCGGCGGCTTCTTGGCAGCCGGATAGTGGGAGAGCTCGATGGGCTCCTCGTTGTTCATGCCCGGACTCTTGGGCCGCGGCGTTTCCGAGCGGATGGCATCCACCAGGACCTTCATGGCGCTGCGTGTCCTGGAGTGAGGACGCGACGGCGGACGGCTTCCGGCCACTGAGCCCGCATTGCTGGCCGTGGTGGCGTACGAGGAGGGCCGGTGGAAGTGCGGCGACAGCGGCGTCTTGTCATACGGATCGATCGGCTTCCTTAGATAGTGTGGCGCATCCGTCAGATAGCTGTAGGTGTAGATGCGAGAGATGTCCTCGGCGTTGGGTCGCCCGTACTCCCGGAGTATCAGACCCGGACTCACCGTTCGATAGTGCTGTAAAAACAAATCTCATTAGTATGCAGTTAGCCAATAATCTGGAAAGTACATGCAGTGCCGTGTGTTTTTTTTCTCAGTTTTAGTAGAAATATATATAAAACAATGGCAGTAAATGAAGGGAAATCATAAAAAAATCATAAAACAAACCTTGCGGCTAGAGGAATAAAGTGAACCATTAAAACTCGGAGTTCTGGAGCGGATGTACTGAAAACGAACGAAAAATAAAAACGCAAGCTCAAAACAACTAAAATGCAAATAACTGAAATTATAAAATCATAAGTTGCTTGTAATGGTGTGGGTGTATAGGTGCAGGGGGTGGTAGATTGAGATGGGTGATAATTCAGAGAATCTACAGCAAAGTAAAATATTTGCTCGAAATTTTAAAAAGTAATCTTCTTGAAAAATATGCTCTAGGATATTCCAAATTATTCTATATAAGTTTTGGAATTTATATAATGTATTTTTAGGTATATTTTAAAGGTGTATTATAAAACATTTAGTATACTAGTAACTTTATTCAGTTCTGTATTTATTGAATACCGTATAAAAGGTCTGAAATATCACCCATCCTAGAATTAAATGGAACATATCACCATATTCCATTTTTATTGTAAATGAAAGTGTTTGTGCTTTTTGTGAATTTTGCAGCATTCAAATTAGTTGCAAGCTCAGCAGCCTCTTTAAGTTCGGGATCTCTGGGACTCTCATCATGGCCCTCTGCAGATCCGACTACCTACCATCTCGCTAAGGGCACTGGAGCTCATCCGGTCGCACTCGGTGTCTGTGAAGTTGCCGTTGGAGGCACCTCCGGCCACCGAGGTGCTGCCCCCGCCGCCGTTTATGATGATCCCGGACTCCGAGGGGCCCGGACCACATCGTGGATGCCAGATGGCGCTGCCCTGCAGGTACATCTCTTCGCCGTCGCCGAAAGGATCGCCGCACTTCGTGCAGCGGGCACAGGTCGGATGGAAGTGGTGGTTGTCGCCCGCCTGGAGCACCTTGCCGCTGATGAAGCGGCTGCAGTAGGCGCACTTCACCCCGAATCCCTTCTGGTAGCACTTCTCGCAGTAGGGCACCGCGTCCTTGCCCATATACTCCCCGTTGAGCACCGCCTGGCAGGCCTTGCACCGGAAGCAGGAGACGTGCCACTGCCTGTCCAGGGCCACCAGGGCCTGGCCCTCCTTCAGCAGCTCCCCGCATCCGGCACAGTCGTTAGGGTCGTAGTCCTCCTTCAGGTGCGCCTTGTGCGAGATCACCCCGCCGTGCTGCTGGTGGGCAGTGGCCCTCGTGGGACTCTCCGCCGGCGGAGCTGGCGAGGAGACGCCTCCTCCGACAGCCTGGCGACTGGGCGAAACGGGAGCCCCCGAGACGCAGTGCTCGCAGAGCACCTCCTTACCGGTGTTGGT